TCGGGGCTTAAGGGGCAGAAAGGGCTGAGAAGGGGGCGGCGCCGGGGCAGGCGGGGCCCGCGCTCCACGCACAGCCCCTCACCTCTCTCTGGGCCGGTGATCCCGCTCCCTCTCCTCTCCCGCTAGCGAGGCGCCACCTCGGGCCCCGGCACCGAGGCCCTCCACCCAGGACCCAAACAAAACCCGAGCGCCGCGGTGCCGGGACCCCGCTCTGCCAGGAAACAAGAAGTCTCTCGCCTATTGGCCGCGGGTACAGCTGGCTACCCGCCCAGTAAAGCTCGCTGCCATTGGTCGGTGCGCAGGGGTTCCCTTGCACGCGAGCGAGTACCTGAGCCAGTGCCGTTTGGGAGCTCGGCCGGCAGGCCGGGCGGGAGGGTTCCGCGCGCGTCTCCTCCGAAGATAGTCAACCGCCTGCCTGCCGGGAGGGAAACACGAAGTGACCGAGAAGTAAACTGGAGAAGACTTACCTTAAAAATAAAAGGACAATGTGCGAAGCTAATCCTTTGCCCGCCGTGATCCTCTGTTGCAAACAGAACGGGTTCAGGTGTCTCCCGTTGGTCAAAGATCCTGTTCCGCGTGGGCAAAAACTGAGTGGAGGATGCGGGCATCGATCCCGCTACCTCTCGCATGCTAAGCGAGCGCTCTACCATTTGAGCTAATCCCCCGGCTGTAGCTGCTTCCCTTCCATTTACCTTACAGGTTGTTGCAAGCTGGCTGTAGACCAGTAGAAAAAACGAAATTCAGGACATTTATTTAGCACCACAGTACAGTGGAACCATGGGCAAAATTTTTAAAAGTAGGAATAACTACGCGTCAGCAATGGTACTAAAGCCAAGTTGATAATATATAAACACGTTACTATATCTGATTTCACCCACAAGAGAGTACGTGTACGGATCCTGGCTCCTTAGTGCATGTTTCACCGAACATCGACAGTGCTCACGGAAAGTCAGTCTGCGTTCGAGTAAACCTTTCTCCTCACAGGATAATTAAATGAAATTAAGTGGAAGTTTAAAAAAAAAAATGTTGTACGAAGTCCTTCGAGCCGGAATCGAACCAGCGACCTAAGGATTGCCACGGCTCACCCACTACAGTCCTCCGCTCTACCAACTGAGCTATCGAAGGCCCCGCTGATTCAGCGGCCTGCATATTCCCCTCTAATGCCTACCGAGGCCTCGCCCTCGCAGGGTTTTAGAGCTTTCTGGAGCCTGGACTCTACTTTCTAAAGCAGCTCACCTGGGCCGAGCCCCTCCGGGCCACACAGAACAGAGGGAGCTGGAGGCAGAAGCGAGAGCAGAGGATCCGCTTCCCAGCCCTGGACGGAGGAAACACGGGCAAACACTTCCCTTCCGTTTCCCTCCTTCCCACAAACAATACGCCCCCCGCCCCTCCTAGTGGCTCCCACGGGATCGCGGGCGCTTAGAGATCGCCCGCAGCCCCGAGCCTCTGGGCAGCGCTGCCCCGCGGGGCCCGCACACACGCAGGCTCTGGAACTGCGAAGCGCACGCCCGGTTCGCAGCGCCGACGGCTCGCTTTGGCTATTTCTGCTCCACATTTCCCTCCGCTTTCTCCCCGGAGCCAATACAATCCCACTGCTCTCCTGCTGTGAAGTACATTCATTCAGCCCTTAAACCAACGTTCGTCCTGACCAGGGCAAGAAAGATACAAACCACAGAGCCGCTCGAGGTTTGCGGGGCGGCGCGGGATCCAGCGGCTCCGAAGCCCTGGGAGGCGGGACTGGC